TCAACAAGGAGACGCTCCTGCAAATTATGACTGACAATAATTTCACAATTTCTGGACGAAAAGCCGTTGTCGAGGAGTGAAATTATTATAGTATCAGACCAACGAGACGGACAAATAATACAGGACTTACAAAACTTAACTAAAAATAATGTAAAAGCTTTCTAGTGTAATGTTAAATTTGTCATTATTCGTAACTTGAATTAACGAAACGTGACAGAAAACAATGACATTTTCTATGGTAGACCGCATTGAATGGGGGGGGGTCCAACTACAAAAAATACGAACGCACCCCTAAAATTTCAAATTCGTATTCGTATTTTTTCGTATTTTTTCGTATTTTTTACAAATCGTCATTTTGATAAATAGAAGATCACACATCTTCGTAATTAATCATATCTAAGCTCAACATAGCAGTGAAGAAACATTGAAATAATATGTAAACCATCATGTATCATACATAAAACCTGGGGGTGCAACAACAAAAACGATGAACCCTCATAAAATTTTGAAATTCGCTCCCTTTTTATCGGTTTTTATTAAAATTTGGGATATATTGTGATCCATTTTATGTTTTATTGGAAATTGGTCCATTTAACTGGGGGGGGGGGGGGGGGGGGGGGGGGGGGGTGGTGGGGGGGGGTGGTGGTCCAACCCGATTTCTGATATGAGGGTTGATGAGGTTAAAATCGGAATTGAGAAATTTACAGAATCGATCTCCAAAACCTCTCAGAAGTGATATAATTCAACCAGAACCCCTACATAATACGTATGCTATATATTGTGATGAGAAAACAAACCAATTGGACATTCCATTAGTATGTTTTATGTGTTTTTCCACTGCAGGGGCTAGTATGCTCACTACTAGTTGGAGTTATCATGTACTCCCAGACCCGAGTGCTTTCGCCTCTTGTGAAATCGATTGTTTATGCTCATTGATTTTATCCCTGTTACTTGTTATTATGTTTTAGTACAACACTAGGTACCGGGTTATATTTTGTGGTCCGGTCTTTAAACATACCATAATATCACTATAGTACACTGCACCTTAAATTTATAGTCAAGTACATTTGTATCGTGACACATGCTTATTATTGGCTTGAGTCCTCCTCCTCAGTCTTCCTCCTCCTCCTCATCCTAAGTCTTCTTCCTCCTGAGTCTTCCTCCTCCTCCTTCTTCTCCTCCTAAGTCTTCTTCCTCCTGAGTCCTCTGAGTCCTCCTCCTCCTCCTCCTCCTCAGTCCTCCTCCTCCTTCTCACCAGTCCTCCTCTTAAGTATTCCTCCTCCTCCTCCTGAGTGCTCCTCCTAATCCTCCTCCTCCCCAGTCCTCATCCTCCTCCTCCTTCTTCTCTTCCTTCTCCTCCTCATCAGTCCTCCTCCTCAGTCCTCTTCATAGTCGTCCTCGTTCTTGTCCTTAGTCCTCCTCATCCTCCTCCTCAGTCCTCCTCCTGAGTCCTCCTCCTGAGTCTCCTCACTCCTCACAGTCCTCCTCCTCCCTGAGTCCTCCTCCTGAGTCCTCCTCCTGAGTCCTCCTCCTGAGTCCTCCTCCTGAGTCCTCCTCCTCCACAGTCCTCCTCCTCCTCAGTCCTCCTCCTGAGTCCTCCTCCTCCTCAGTCCTCCTCCTGAGTCCTCCTCCTGAGTCCTCCTCCTCCACAGTCCTCCTCCTCCTCAGTCCTCTCCCAGCCCTTCCCCAGTCCTCCTCATCCTCCTCCTTCTCCTTCTTATCAGTCGGGCCTCCTCCTCGTCCTCGCTCTCGGTCCTCAGGTCCTCCTCGTCCTTAGTCCATCATCCTTTTACTCCTCCTCCTCCTCCTCAGTCCTCCTCAGTCCTTCTCTTCCTCAGTTCATCCCCCCCAGTTCTCCTCCCCCTCCTCAGTCCTCGTCCTCAGTCCTCCTCGTCTTTAGACCTCCTTCTCATCAGTCCTTCCCAATCCTCCTCCTCCTCCTCCTTCTCATCCTCATAAGTCTTCTTCCTCCTGAGTCCTCTTCAGTCCTCCTCCTCCGTCTCATCAGTCCTCCTTCTCCTCCTCTTAAGTATTCCTCTCTCCTCCTACTGATTCCTTCCTCCTCCTCCTCCCCCCAGACCTCAATCCCCTCCTCCTCCTTTCCCTCTTCTTTTCCCCCTCCCCCTCAGTCCTCCTCCTCAGTCCGTCTTTATATAGTCGTCCTCGTATCCTCGTCCCTTAGGTCCTCCTCCTCCTCCTGAGTCCTCCTCCTGAGTCCTCCTCCTCATCCTCCTCCACAGTCCTCTTCCTCCTCCTCAGTCCTCCCCCAGTCCTCCTCCTCATCAGTCCTCCCCCAGTCCTCCTCCTCCTCAGTCCTCCTCCTCCTCCCTCAGTCCTCCTCCTCCTTCCACAGTCCTCCTCCCTCAGTCCTCCCCCATTCCTCCTCAATCTCCTCCCCCTCCTCATTCTCCTCCATCATCCTCCTCCTCCTTCTCCTCTTCCTTCTCCTCCTCATCAGTCCTCCTCCTCAGTCCTCTTATAGGTCGTCCTCGTTCTCGTCCTTAGTCCTCCTCCTCCTCCTCAGTCATCCTCCCTCAGTCCCTTCTCCTGAGTCCTCCTCCCTCATCCTCCTCCAACAGTCCTCTTCCTCCTCCTCAGTCCTCCCCCAGTCCTTCTCCTCATCAGTCCTCATCCTCATCAGTCCTCCCCAGTCCTCCTCCTCCTCCTCCTCCTCAGTCCTCCTCCTCCTCCTCAGTCCTCCTCCTCCTTCCTCAGTCCTCCCCAATTCCTCCTCAGTCTACTCCCCCTCCTCCTTCTCCTCCTCATCCTCCTCCTCCTTCTCCTCTTCCTTCTCCTCCTCATCAGTCCTCCTCCTCAGTCCTCTTCATAGTCGTTCTCGTCCTTAGTCCTCCTCCTCCTCCTCAGTCCTCCTCCTGAGTCATCCTCCTCCTCCTCAGTCCCCCCCCCATACCTCCTCCTCATCAGTCCAACCCCAGTCCTCCTCATCCCCCAGTCTCCTCCCCTCCTCAGTCCTCGTCCTCAGTCCTTCTCATAGTCGTCCTTCTCCTCCTCGCCTTCTTTCTCAGTCCTCCCCCGTCCTCAGTCCTCCTCGTATTTAGACCTCCTTCTCATCAGTCCTTCCCAGTCCTCCTCCTCCTCCTCCTCCTTCTCCTCCTCCTAAGTCTTCTTCCTCCTGAGTTTTCCTCCTGAGTCCTCCCCTCCTCCTCAGTCCTCCTCCTCCTCCTCAGTCCTCCTCCTCCTTCCTCAGTCCTCCTCCTCAGTCCTCCCCCATTCCTCCTCAATCTCCTCCCCCTCCTCATTCTCCTCCTCATCCTCCTCCTCCTTCTCCTCTTCCTTCTCCTCCTCATCAGTCCTCCTCCTCAGTCCTCTTTATAGTCGTCCTCGTTCTCGTCCTTAGTCCTCCTCCTCCTCCTCAGTCATCCTCCTCAGTCCTTCTCCTGAGTCCTCCTCCTCATCCTCCTCCACAGTCCTCTTCCTCCTCCTCAGTCCTCCCCCAGTCCTTCTCCTCATCAGTCCTCATCCTCATCAGTCCTCCCCAGTCCTCCTCCTCCACCTCCTCCTCCAGTCCTCCTCCTCCTCCTCAGTCCTCCTCCTCCTTCCTCAGTCCTCCCCAATTCCTCCTCAGTCTACTCCCCCTCCTCCTTCTCCTCCTCATCCTCCTCCTCCTTCTCCTCTTCCTTCTCCTCCTCATCAGTCCTCCTCCTCAGTCCTCTTCATAGTCGTTCTCGTCCTTAGTCCTCCTCCTCCTCCTCAGTCCCTCCTCCTGAGTCATCCTCCTCCTCCTCAGTCCCCCCCCCCATACCTCCTCCTCATCAGTCCAACCCCAGTCCTCCTCATCCCCCAGTTCTCCTCCCCTCCTCAGTCCTCGTCCTCAGTCCTTCTCATAGTCGTCCTTCTCCTCCTCGCCTTCTTTCTCAGTCCTCCCCGTCCTCAGTCCTCCTCGTATTTAGACCTCCTTCTCATCAGTCCTTCCCAGTCCTCCTCCTCCTCCTCCTCCTTCTCCTCCTCCTAAGTCTTCTTCCTCCTGAGTTTTCCTCCTGAGTCCTCCCCTCCTCCTGAGTCCTCCTCCTCCTTCTTATCAGTCCTCCTTCTCCTCCTCTTAAGTATTCCTTCTCCTCCTCCTGAGTCCTCCTCCTGAGTCCTCTTCATAGTCGTCCTCGTTCTCGTCCTTAGTCCTCCTCTTCCTCCTCAGTCCTCCTCCTGAGTCCTCCTCCTGAGTCCTTCTCCACATCCTCCTCCACAGTCCTCTTCCTCCTCCTCAGTCCTCCCCCAGTCCTCCTCCTCATCAGTCCTCCCCCAGTCCTCCTCCTCCTCAGTCCTCCTCCTCCTTCCTCAGTCCTCCTCCTCCTCAGTCCTCCCCCAGTCCTCCTCCTCAGTCTCCTCCCCCTCCTCCTTCTCCTCCTCAGTCATCCTCCTCCTCCTCAGTCCTCCCCCAGACCTCCTTCTCATCAGTCCTTCCCCAGTCCTCCTCCTCCTTCTTATCAGTCGGCCTCCTCCTCGTGCTCAGTCCTCAGTCCTCCTCGTCCTTAGTCCTCATCCTTTTACTCCTCCTCCTCCTCCTCAGTCGTCCTCAGTCCTTCTCCTCCTCAGTCATCCCCCCAGTTCTCCTCCCCATCCTCAGTCGTCCTCAGTCCTCGTCCTCAGTCCTCCTCATAGTCGTCTTCCTCGTCCCCGTCTTCCTTCTCAGTCCTCCTCGTCCTCAGTCCTCCTCTTGTTTAGACCTCCTCCTCATCAGTCCTTCCCCAGTCCTCCTCCTCCTCCTTCTCCTTCTTATCAGTCGTTCTCCTCCTCGTCCTCGCTCTAGTCCTCAGTCATCAGTCCTCCTCGTCCTTCTCCTCTTCAGTCATCCCCCAGTTCTCCTCCCCTCCACAGTCCTCCTCATGGTCGTCCTCCTCGTCCTCGTCTTCCTTCTCAGTCCTCCTCGTCCTCCTCCTTCTCCTCGTCCTCGTCCTCCTCCCCTTCCTCTTCAGTCTTCGTCAGTCCTCCTCCTCTTCCTTTTCCTCCTCCTCCTCAGTTCTCCTCCTCCTCTTCAGGGGATCATGTTTGCGAAAAAATGGAAGGCTAAAGGTAAACACTTTATCACGGCTCCAACGTTCCAGGACCTTATAACTGGCCTTGAAGGGATGGTTCATTATCTAGTCCAATGTGCAACTAAGTACAAGGACTGTGATATTGCTCCATGGCATTTTGTTTCCGACTCTTGCGAACAATTGTTTGCTTTCCTTCGCACTGGCTTCCGCAAAGGACGCCAGACGAACCTATCGAGTGCTTTGGTTGTGCACGGGGCAGCAAGGAAAAATCGGTGCCTTGAGCTTGATGCGAAAGGCAGCCATCTTGTTGCGCATGACGTTGCACACACTCGGGGGAAGACACTGATTCCCAATCCCAACCAAACACGGGTGTACAATGGCAGAGACACCAGCCTCAAGAAACTTAGGAAAGCACTCAGGAAAGGCATCGACATGGGGAAGGATATGATTCGTGCTCACACAAAGCTACTGAACCCGACTGTTACACTCTAGTTGATGATGATGACAGGGAAGAGGTTGAGCTTGAGGCTCCCAATGATGATGATGATGAATGGAGATTTATAACCAGTCAACTGGAGTTCTCACAACCGGCGGCCACGGCCGTTGGTACCATGTTGATACTGCTGCTGAGACGTTCATGAACGACAGTCGGTCATCGATGGCAGGTCATACACGCCAAAGGAGAATCAAAGGCTACAGTATCGCCAGGGTGTCACTTTCTTGGCCATGTGAATCGTTTGGAATAGACTGTAAACGTGTATCAGTTGGTGACAAGGGCTGGTTCGACAAGAAAAAATTCAAGCAAGCTGTCAAGTTCCGCGGGCAGGCTCCGGCTCTGTTCATGTCAACATCGCATATATTCAGCAAGGCTGACAGGTCGTCTGTCTGCTGTGTACCCACTAACTCCTTTTGTTCTACCCATCAGAACTATCATGTTTGGGTGAAGTCTGATGTAGATGGTAAGATTTTCCTATCAAAAGAAGTTTTGAAGATCACTAAGAGAATTTGAAGTTTTTCTCTATTTTTAATCCTAAGGAAATTAAGCTGTTGCCATTATATATAGTCTATATATTATAATATATAATGGGTTCAGCCGAAGCTGATTAAATTTCGTTTTAGGAAGTAGGGACCCAACTTACCAGATTTTAAAAGTATGCGTAATGCGTATTTGGCAATAATATTCTGTGATGTAGCATTCAAAGACCTTTATAAATCACAATTAATACATCATAATATTATCTGAATTGTGATAATATCCCAGTGATTTTGACACACACGCTTACGTGAGATTGACAAGCAGCTAAACTCCAATTATTAATTAGTAGGTAATCGTAGTATTGTATTTTCATTTGTTCACCAGTTTTGCTGCGTCTTATTTACCTTCTCTGATGTCATACAGTGTAATATACAAAGATACAACGGAGAATACCAATGGATTTATAGATCCATTTCTCTGGGATATTTCGTTATTTCAAGAGTAAAAAAATTTTGGTAAAAAATACGAATTAATACGAATTAATACGAACGCACCCCTAAAATTTGAAATTCGTATTCGTATTTTTTGTAGTTGGACCCCCCCCTTGAATTTTCATAAAGTCAGTATGCGTTGTAGTGCATTGATCGTGTTACCGAAACTAAAACCCTTCTTCTTACCAACAGCTTAAATACTTTCAAAGCTTTTGTGTTTGATAATAATATGCCACATTAATGACCAAAACATAGTTATCCAGAGCATCATTATTGCTATTCTGTTGTTTTATCTAGAGAAAAAATGCAGCTGATTTCCTCGATAGTGTTGAAAAAATTGTTGAACGCCGGCAAAAAGACTGACTCAAGTATCTACTGGAACTGCAGAGAATGCGTAAAATTTTTAGATTTCATTAAATCTAATCTAATTACTCATTCTAAAATGTCTCATTCTTCATATTTTACCTACTCACAATTATTAATCTCAGACACGTGAAATAATTTCTCTGCACTTTACTTTGACTTAGTGATGTGTACGAATAAGACTATTGAGTAATGAGTATCTGCTGTGATCATACAAAGGAACTAGCACTTTAGCACTACCGAGACACAAATATTGCTGTACAATATACAATGTATATATTGAAATCTGTTTTAACGGGATGTACAATTTATATGTATTTATATATAAATGTTTTTGCCATGAAACGGACCAAACTGATCCTAACTCATATTCCACTCATCATAGCATATCGCTTCAGCATGTACAAAGGGCATAACCTCAATCAGTTTAATGTAGTGAAATGACTGGTGTGAATAAAGTAGTGTACTAATACAAGTTGGAGAGGATGTATTTATATATTAACAGTAGAACCGCGTGGAAAGGAAAAAACCGCCAAATATCTGAGTTTGAGTTAAGTAGGGGTTTTTAAAATGATAATTTTGAATCACAACCGTCAATTAACTCTAGCAGCAGCTTTACTACCTCCTATTTCAGTACTCTAGGAGCAGCTTTACCACCTCCTATTTCAGGACGACAAATGTTGGGTGAGACAAACCCTCTGAACTCCAAACCTGGTAGCATCCGAGGAGACTACTGTATCGATATGGGTAAGAACATCTGTCACGGCAGCGACTCCGTGGAGAACGCTGAGAAGGAGATTGCAATGTGGTTCGGGGAAGGTGAGGTACAGAGCTACGTCCAGTCTAACTCCGTCCACATCTACGAATAAAGATCACGTGTTGTGTCACGTGGTGCGCGCAGGTCACGTGCAGTGCTGCACTCAGTCGAACCAGTGCCGCATAGCTCGAAGATTTTTAGCCTTTAGGATCTTTTAAATGTGAAAGTATGTTATTTATTCGTGGGTTAGCTTGCAAACTTAGCATATTTGTGTTTTATTGCTTAAAAGCGAAAGTTCGAATAACTCGTACACCCGATTTATAACAGTATATCCTTCCCCCAAATTTTAAGGTTTTTCGGAACAGTTCTCTAACCAAAAACAAAGGTTAAATAAATAACTCAAAAATTTGAAAAATGTGACTTACGCACACAGTTCTCTTACTGAAAACAAAGGTAAAATAAATAACTCAAAAATTTGAAAAATCCCAAAATGTGACTTACGCACATAGTTAAAGAAAACAGCAGTTCTAGTCAATAAGTGTCGAATGTTAGTTTCCAATATTTTCAACACTACTATTTGTTCAACATTCATGCTGCTAGAAGAAATAATTAGCATTCGACATATTCTATGCGGCCCATAAACAACCACCCAATCATTCAACTTGGTTGTACCACATTGACTGTCGGCAAATTCGATGGTAAACTAAGTTAAGTTTGAGGGGTTTGCTGATGATTGGTAAAAGAAAAATACAAATTTAATAATCGCCATTCAAAAATCAGTCTTTACATCCCTTTTTTAACAAAGAAGCCAATTTTCTTAGTAAATTTCAACCAATTATCCCCTTTTAGATCAATATTACGTAGATTAGAAAAAAAATGTACATTGTAATGGACCTGTAACACCTTTTAAGAGCCTGTAACACCTGTAACTACAACAATAGGATGATAGATGTTTAACCATGTGACGGTATGGTTACTACTACTCACACTCCTACCCCCCTCAACACCCTCTGATCTCTCGCCCTACTCCTCCTCCTCTCACGGTTCACCCAGATCTCTCAGATTTGTGAAGCAGTGCCATGACAACAAGACTCTTACTGAGACGTTTGAGGTTTGCTTTAGAGTTTTATTAGTTTAGTTTTAGAGTTTTATTAGTTAAGATTTTTATTAGTTTAGTTTTAGAGTTTTATAAGTTAAGTTTAGAATTTAATGTAAGAGTGTCACTGTGTGGATTGTTGTGAGTTAAGTTTATATTAGGCATTTCTGAATGAACGAGTAGTTGCTCCAATTACTCAATTAGAAAAAAGGAAAATTAGTAGTAACTTTTGTAGTATATATAGAGCTAATTTCATTTGTTGAAACCGTATTGCTACTCTGAGCCTACATTAATTCAAGAACCATGTTTCTGTGAATTTAAAAGTAAAAACTAATAATTTGGTGAACAAAATAAAACAATCTTTAATGTTATTTTGAATGCATAAAGAAATGAAATAATACAGTTATCAACAGTTACCAAAGTGTATGATGCAATCGAAAGCACGGGGAACATAATATAGAATAGGTCCAATCACGTAGGATACGACCATTGGGAGATCTTTCGTCTGAAAACCAAATTTCCCTCCGGGTAGCTTAGCGCTAAGTTTGGCAGCCATATCACCCCATTCCACCGATGTGATTCCACTTCCACCGTCACATTCTGCCTCATCCTCACAGGAATTACAGTCGCAGTACCCATCACACCAGTCCGTTTCGTAGAGTGTTCTGGAACCGTCCTTACAGGGTATCCTGTCATCAGCCGCATCCTCACCACCCTCATCTTGAGTCACTCCGAGTCTTATCATCGCCACCAACATCAACAAAAGCAGGACCTTCATCTTCAGATGTGTTCTTTGAAAGTAGTTAAATCACAGGAAAACTTACAAATATGGGATTGTCTGGGTCATGGGAGGACGTAGTTATATAGTGAATTTGGACGCATGACTGGAGCAAGCGGGGCTATTGTCCAGTTAGTGTTCATCAATAACAGCATTGTTTGAGTTCTGGGCGGGGCACATGTGGTGCTTTTTTGTGGGTACCTCTGTCTTTGTTCAACCTCCTGATCATATTTCGGTGCGAGTCACCCGGAGCATTATTTGCACGTGTTGGTAGTTCTACTCTTCCAAACAAATCTCACAGTGCTCTCAATGAAAACGTGCTTCTCATTCTACTCCTCTCTGGTAGTTCAGCTGGTTCTTTATATTAGGTCAGGTTTTAATCTTCCACGACTCGAACATTCAGTCTTTGTGGCAATACACGTGCATTAATTATTGGTTGGAGTAAGCTGGTTCAGTTGTAAAAGTGGTATTAGGTGGAAATTTGGATGGTTTGAACAACAAATAATATTGTCCTGCATTCTTTTCCTGGATGTGGTCAGGTGTTTTCAGTAGAACAGGGAGAAAAGTGGTGGAAGAGCAGCTGTTTGCTGGGGGGGGGGGGGGGGGTTCACCCTGATTTTTTGTGAAGCTTGGTTTCGAGATAGCAGTTGACCAACAAACTAGGACCAGTGACCGAACTTTTGAGGGGGTCCCGGACCCCAACCGCCAAACGGTGCCCGCGGGGCAGCCACGCCCATATTTGTTCCAAATTAGGCCCAATTTAGCCAAATACCCTGAACATACCCAAAATCCAGATTTTAGGTGCTCTACTTGTAGCTAGTGGTCCCCTGAACTCGTATATGAATTTTCATCAAGATTGGACAAAAAATGACTGAGTTATGAGCCAAAAACCACATGACCATATTTGGGCATACGCACCAAATTTGATCGATTTTGGCCCATAAATTAGTCAAATATCAATATTTTTGAATGAAACCAACTTTATATGGAAGGTAAGCCTATACTACATATTTTTACATGAAATTTTCCAAATTCTGAATTTTGCATTGCAAATTTTGGAATTTGGCCGCCAAATTTTTTTAAAGGCCTAACTCAAAATTCCAATACAAAACTTAAGATCGAAATGCGATTCTACGTTGATTCTGAAAATTTCATGTAAAAATATTGAAACCCTATTGAGTTCTATTGTTTTGAGCGAAGTCAGTTTTGCAAATATCGCGAACTGAGATATGGGCGATTTTCTTCATTTTTTGCGATTATTTGACCACATAATCCACAGTTTGGTAGATACTGAGCTGATAATCATAGATAATGTGTAGTATAGGCTTAGCTTCCATATAAAGTTAGTTTCATTCAAAAATATTGATTTTTGACCAATTTATGGGCCAAAATAGATCAAATTTGGTGCGTATGCCCAAATATGGTCATATGGTTTTTGGCTCATAACTCAGTCATTTTTTGTCCAATCTTGATGAAAATTCATATACGAGTTCAGGGGACCACTAGCTACAAGTAGAGCACCTAAAATCTGGATTTTGGGCATGTTCAGGGTATTTGGCTAAATTGGGCCTAATTTGCACCAAATATGGGCATGGCTGCAACGCGGTCACCGTTTGGCAGTTGGGGTCCGGGACCCCTTCAAAAGTTCGGTCACTGGTCCTAGTTTGTTGGTCAACTGGCTATCTCGAAACCAAGTTTCACAAAAAAATCAGGGTGAACCCCCCCTTAATCTACATAATTGATGAAATAATTTCGGTTTTTTGGAGTAGAGCTAGAATGAATTGGGTTGGCCGTGATTTATAGCGTATTGATGATATAATGTGCAAATAAAGCCCTTCCCACATCCCCACGGAATCTTTTTTATCGTTAATATTGCTACAATCTTGTTATCCCCTTATCCAAACTTCAGCCTTACAACACCTTTTATTAGTTTAGTACGAGGTTAGGGTTGTATTTTGTGGATTTTTATAATATTGTTAAGTTAAGTCGTGGTATTTGGGATATTATACCGGACCACGATGTATGGGGAATTACTACCCCATGGCTAGATTAAAATATTAAAATATTAAAAAGTATATACAACTAGAAATCCGCTAGTCGAAAGCTTTGTTCAAGAAAATTTTAAAATTCAGTTTTGTTTTAATTTCTCTTCATCATCTTAGCTCTGTACCGTAAAAAGTATGGATTTTATGTATGAATAAAAATTCTAAGAATGTTATCCTTTTTCTACAGCCCTGCTAAAAATGGCGAGGTTTCAACTCCATTTGCGAGCTGAAATTGGTGACATTGAAGGGGTCAGGTTTTGGTCCGTTGCCGGGGGGATTTCGTAAAGTTTAAAATATAACATAGATATAGACCATTTTATTTGTTGACACCGTTTTGTTGACCCTGCATAGAATATTTCAAGAACTAGATACATGTTTATGTGAATCTAAACATTTTAATGGAACTTGAGTAGGAACAAAATAAAACGATTCTTGATTTTATTTTAAATGCATGAAAAATAAAATGATACAGTTAACAGTATTGGTGCAAGATGCAGACCCAAGCACGTTGCACAAAATAGGCGATCTCCCAGGGAAGATGGTGCGTCATTACTGCCACTTTTCCTCCAGGTAGCTTAGCGTTAAGTTTGGCGGCCATCTCACCCCATTCCACCGATGTGATTCCACTTCCACCGTCACATTCTGCCTCATCCTCACAGGAATTACAGTCACAGTACCCATCACACCAGTCCCTTTCGGAGACTGTTGTGGAACCGTCCTTACAGGGTATCCTGTCACCAGCCGCATCCCCCTCCTCCTCACCCTCACCACCTTCTTGAGTCACTCCGAGTCTCATCATCGCAACCAACATCAACAACAGCAGGACCTTCATCTTCGGATGTGTTCTTTAAAAGTAGTTAAATCACAGGAAAACTCAGAAATATGGGATTGTCTGGGTCATGGGAAGACTATATATAGTGAAAATTGAACGCATGACTGGAGCGAGCGGGGCTATTGCCCAGTTAGCGTTCATCAATAACAGCATTGTTTAAGTTCTGAGCGTATTACATTACTATTATATTATATTATTGAGCGTATATAATGGTGCTTTTTTGTGGGTACCTCTGTCTTTGTTCAATCCCTTTCTCTGTGCGAGTCACCCGGAGCATTCTGTACACGTTTTTTTATTTATAATCCTTCCAGCAAATCTTACGGTGGAAACGTACTATTTTATTATACTCCTATGTTCACTGTTTAGAACGGCTAGTCTGCTGGTTCTTTGTTTTTATTATTCCACGACTCGAACCTCGGTCTTTGTTCTTCGTCAGCTTTTCTGACCAGGTTGCAAACACGTGCATTAATTCTTGGTTGAAGGGAGCTAGTTCAGATCTTAACGTGGTAATTTGTACGGTCTGAAAATAAAGAATATTCTCCTGGCACTCTTTACCTGAATGTTGTCAGGTGTTGTAAGGTAGGATGGTATTGTTATAGAGCTTTGTTTGGGGTTTAAGCTTCCCATTCTTCTTGTTAACAACAGTTAGTCGAGGTGACCATGTAAAAATAATTGACAAAATATGAGCTGGTTTTTTGGAGTAGAGCTAGAAACACGCACTGGGGTGGCCGTGATTCTAAAGGTTTTGATATGTGCTAATATCCCACTCTCCCACGAAATTCTTTCTAACAAGGATATCTTGAATACTGATACAATCTCGTTCTCCTCCTGTCCAAACCTCACCCAACTTAACACCCCAGGTAGCAGAACAGAGCACTCAAGGTGCTCCCTTAAAAGTCAAGACATTCGAGGATGACATTCCCAACTCCTACCCTCACCGGTTCGCTTACGGTCACGTGGCTGTTGTTTCCAATCCACGTGACACACTCTCTTTCTACGAACCTGATATTATTGGTGAGACTTATAAACTGGGCCTTTTTGTAGCTTAGGGTGCATAAATTAACACTCTGTGAATAAAATTGCAGTATTTTCTTAAACGTCCTTATAATACTATACTTCCAGCAATTTACTAATTACTACTAATTTACTAATTGCTAATTTGCTAATAGATGCTCCTGCATAACTACATTACCCCGTACTTCTCCAGGATCCTGTACCTCGAACCCCACCACCCAAAATTTCCTAACAGAGTCAGCTAAACAATACAACTGTATATACGCTAGTAACGGGGGATTCTTTAACACGACCACTGGTAACTGCCTGGGGAACATGTACAGTGATGGTCGTCTCGTCATCAATGGTATGTTACTGAGAGTTACTAATAGTTACTAATGGTTACCGAGAGTTTATTTAAACAAAGTCCCCCTTCGCGTTTATACCTGAGATTTTTGATAATCACTTGTTTTTATCAACTTAAAGTTTTGATATTTTGCAGTCGGAAGGATTTAATCACGTAAACTAGAGATTATAGATTATGTAGATTATGTAAGGGGGGTTCGAATGGTGAAAAATGGTGACATTTTACAATTTGGAAACTCGATCACCATAAAAAATCTGGGAGGGGCTCTACTGCTCTTATGGGGGGGGGGGGGGGGGGGCTCATGTTTTTTTGTCCGTTTTTGTCCGTTTGGCAGCTATATTTTCAAAACGGACAAAAAATAAAGCGGACAAAAACGGACAAAAACGGACAAAAAATAACAAAAATTGAAATAACATTTAGATGCTTCCTCCTCCTCCTCCTCTTCCTCCTCCTCCTCCTCCCCCTCCTCCTCCTCCTCCTCCTCCTCCTCCTCCTCCTCCTCCTCCTCCTCTTCCACCTTCTCCTCAGCCATCCTCCTCAGCCATCCTCCTCAGTCCTCCTCAGTCCTCCTCAGTCCTCCTCAGTCCTCTTCCTCTGCAGTCCTCATCATCCTCCTCAGTCCTCCTCCTGGGTCCTCCTCCTCCTCTTCCTCCTCAGTCCTCAGTCCTTCTCCTCAGTCCTCCTCCTCATCCTTTTCGTCAGTACTCCTCCTCCTCAGTCCTCCTCCAGTCCCCCTCCTCCTCCTATTCAGTCCTCCTCCTCCTTAGTTCTCCTCCTTCTCATTCCTTCTTCTGAGTCCTCCTCATTCCTCCTTCTGAGTCCTCCTCCTCCTCTTTCTCCTGAGTCCTCCTCCTGGGTCCTCTTTCTCCTCCTCCTTCTCAGTCCTCCTCCTCCTCCCTCTCAGTCATCCTCCTCAGTCATCCTCCTCAGCCATCCTCCTCAGCCATCCTCTTCAGCGATCCTCCTCAGTACTCCTCAGTCCTCCTCCTTCTCAGTCCTCCTCAGTCATCCTTCTCCTCCTCCTCCTCCAGGGGGGATCCTGTTTTTTATCCGTTTTTTCCGTTCGGAACCCTATATTATCAAAACGGACAAAAAATAGAGCGGACAAAAACGGACAAAAATAACAAAAATGGAAATAATATTTAGATCTTTAGATGCTTCCTCCTCCTCCTCAGTCTTCCTCAGTCATCCTCCTCCTCCTCCTGAGTCCTCCTCCTGGGTCCTCCTCCTGGGACCTCCTCCTCTTGGGTCCACCTCCTCTTCATCCTCCTCCTCTTCCTCCTCAGTCCTCAGTTCTCCTCCTCAGCTCAGTCCTCCTTCTCAGTCCTCCTCCTCATCCTTTTCCTCAGTCCTCCTCCTCAGTCCTGCCCAGTCCCCCTCCTCCTCCTATTCACTCCTCCTCCTCCTCCTCCTCCTCCTCCTCCTCCTCCTCCTCTTCTTCCTGGTTCCTCCTCTTGGGTCCTCCTTCTCCTCCTCAGTCCTCCTCTTCCTCCTCTTCCTGGGTCCTCCTGATCCTCTTCAGTCTTCTTCCTCCTTCTACTCCTCAGTCCTCCTCCTGCTCAATCCTCCTCTTCCTCCTAAGTCCTCCCCTCCTCAGTCCTCCTAAGTACTCCCCTTCTCAGTCCTCCTCCTCATCAGTCCTCTTCACCAGTCCTCCTCCTCAGTCCTCCTTATCCTCATCCTTTATCTCCTTTCTCCTCCTTATCCTCCTCATACACCTCCTTCTCCTCATCAGTCCTCCTCCTCACTCCTCAGTCCTTCTCCTCCTCCTCCTCCTCCTCGTCCTTAGTCCTCTTTATCAGTCCTCATCAGTCCTCATCGGTCCTCCTCCTCCCCAGTCCTCCTCATGGGGCCTTTTCCTGGGTCCTCCTCCTCTTGGGTCCTCCTCCTCTTGAGTCCTTCTTCTCCTCCTCCTATTCATTCCTCCTCCTCAGTTCTCCTTCTCAGTCTCACTCCTCCTCAGCCCCCCTCCTCTCCCTCCTCAGTCCCCCTCCTCAGTCCCCCCTCCTCCTTTTCCTCTCTTTCATCTCTCAATAATTTGTTCAATTTACAGGGTGGGCCAAAAGTCAGTACCCATACGTTGGCCTCAATAGCTCCGCCGTGTTTTATATTTGAGAGCTGTTGCTTTGCAGATGGTATACTGTACTTACTGGTTCAAGGATTCCGTCGTCAAAATTTGAAAATTCGAATATTTTAGACCACGCCCATTCAATATTAAAACACCTATATTGTTTTCTCTGAACATGCTGAACGCCTAATTTTTTCAGGGGCGGTAGATTATCAAATGTTGCATATGATCTAAAAACATGAGGCAAAACGGATTAGAAATGACGAAGTTATCAAGCATTTTCTGTATCTCGTTAACAATATTGACTGGGTGATTATGTGACACCGTGACACGACACCTTAATTGGGCAATTCCCATAATGTTTAACGGGGTAGTTAACGGGGGCACCTTATCACGTGATTAGGTAAACCAATCACCTGATCACACGTAATGAATAAACTCGTTATGCTTCATATCTCGGTCATCTGAGAAGCTACAGTTCTAATTCTTTCAGGACAAACGTAATTCGAATGGCCAAACACAATTCAATAACATTTAGCTTGATCCGACTATCCAAACTATCAAATAAATGTGAAAATGAACCTCCATTTGAAAAAAATGAACGCGAATATTTTTCGAGTTGACAAATTCCTTGAACCAGCGGTGGTACTAAGTCATACCAGAAAGAAGTATTTAAATTGGGCACTCAGTGACTGAGCTATAAAGGCCAACGTATGGGTACTGACTTTTGGCCCACCCTGTATAATTATTGTTGGTGTTATTGTTAACATAATTTATTGTTATACCGTATACTAAAATGTTTTTAAGCGCATTTGAGTCTGACTCAAAATGTGCTCAAGAATCTTTGTGTTTAACAAAGTTTTACTCTCCAGTAATAAAACTTTTCATCCCTTTTTATGTTATTAAAAAATGTGTAGACTATTCTTTGTGCCTAATTGAAGATTAAAAGTTTGAGAAAGGACCATGGTCATTAACCGGGCTACCCATTTCTGCAGATAGCCTGTTACAAATTGTGGAGAAAATTTAAATCAAAAGTTACAATTTTTGTCCGTTTTTGTCCGTTTTTGTCCGTTTGGCAGCTATATTTTCAAAACGGACAAAAATTAACGGACAAAAACGGACAAAAACGGACAAAAAATAACATGATCCCCCCCCCTCTTATCTCGAAGCACTCTACTGTTTTTGTGTTTTACTATTCTGTTAATTCTATGGCTGGAATGTTGGTATAATTTCCACTTGAGTAGCTCAATCCTTTACTTCTTAGGCTTCGATTTCTGAGTTCTGACACTGCAATTATTAATAGTTTTATACCTACTCACGGCACATATTTTTATCATGGCTAAAGTTACAACATATTTGAAGATATAATGAAGTTACATTTACATCTGATAGAGATAACACTTTGTGGAAACGATTAATCATGTTGTTAAAAACACTCAGTCCATTTAAAATTACAATATTGTCACACACTGGTTACGGTAAATGATCACGTATCAAGTCAATAAAGTCAAACGAGAATTCACCATAAACATGAAACAACCTATTCACTATTGGAACCCCCTAGTATATGTACAGTGTGCATGCTCCACATAAATAAAATATCCCCACAGGTAAAGGACTAATGAACCCCAACCTTGGTATTCTACGTAACGGTACCATAGTTGTAGGGTACCTGACACAAGATCACATTCTCAACCTGGAGTGGGTTAACTTGGTACAGGGTATCATTTGGCTGGTC